ATTTAAGTGAATAAATTTTGTACTCCGATATAATGTTAAGCTAAAAACGCTCATAACAAAATCAAGTGCAACAACATTGTATTAATGCTTATTTGTAACTATGTTGAATATTTTCCTAAAATAGGGAGGGCAAATCACGAAGACTTTATACACTGTTTAAGTCTATCTAATTGGTTTTAATTTAATCTACTGAACAATAATTTCAGAAAAAAGAAGATTCACAGTCAACATCATGAAGATGACGTGGAGAAATATGATTGGCTCCAGGGTTTTGGAAATGAAAAAAATAAAAAAATGGGTTGATACCGATTTCCACTCCATGGGTGAAGGAGAATGAAGATTCCACCCACGTGGCAGGTGGGGGAGACGTCACTATGACGAGGATGTTGAAACCTTCTACTATGTCGTCACCTTCTTAGGTGGGCCCATCCCACTATCAGCCACGTCAGCTTATGCTCTCTTATACTCCTACTCCATCCGTCCCAATATATAGTTCCTAATTGTATTTTTTCACGATATTTAAGAAATAGGGGGAGAAAGTGGATGAAGTATATAAAAAAAAGGTGAAGAGTACAATTATAGACAAAAGTTAGAGAGGAAAAAGTGAATAAAGTACATAAAAAATAGGTGAAAATGTACTTATGAACAAAAGTTAGAGAGAGAAAGTGGAAAAAAAGTACAAGACAAGTGAAAAATTTAAGAGTAACTTAAGAAATAAAATGAATAAAGTTAAAAAAATGAGGGTATAATGATCATTATATATTATCCAAAAATAGAAACATGAACAACATTTTAGGTCTCCAAAATAGGAAAACAGGAACTATAATATGAGACAGAGGTACTTCGTATTATTCATCCCTCCTTGGATAGTTGGATACTTGGATCCAAATAGTTTCCATCAATAATTAACAAGTTTTGCATATAATATGATCACATAATTGAATTCAATTAAATACTTGATCATACTCCCTCCGTCCTTTTATTTGAGACCCATTTCTAACATTTATTACTCACATAATAAAGAGAAATGTGTCTCTAATAAAAGAACGGAGGGAGTATTAACTAATCGTTTAGGCTTTGTAGCCTTTGTGGGGTTGATCGAAAAGGAATAATAGACAATCAAAAGCAAGTTGGACAATCTTTAAGGGATAAAGCGAGTAATATTTTCTCTCTTCTCTTTCCTATGTGCATGAGATGGGCTGACATGAATGTCGATCAAGCAACGTAGGGTCATGGGCTAACATAGATACCAATATTTTGGGCACAATTACAATTTTGCAACGACTTGATGACTCATTTATTTTGATCAAATTTGCAATAAAGAAATATAAATTTTATCTAGGAGACCCACTTACATTGCACGATCTAGCATTTCAATACAACACGACATGTACTTAGTCATGAATAAAGATCGACATGAGCCTAACACGACATAACTTGTTACTTTCATCAAACACATCTTGCTAAAGACTTAGCTTCAGCGTGACAAAATTTAATTGCTGACACAACACGTGAGCTTGCACGACCTGTCTCATGCCAAGCTTAGACTCATGTGTAGAGGATGACGTCAAAGATCACAAGTACACAAAAAAAGAGGTTAAATAACAACGTCAAAAGTCAAGAGTGACGCCACTAACACCAAGATAGAGCACATTTAATATCCATCACTCCATGTGCTCTAATCTCTCTCCTTCTTTTCCTGCCTTTCACTTTCTTTCTCCCTTACGCTACTTCTATTCTACTCTCTCTCTTCTAAGCATATATCCTGTATTTCTGTATTTGGAAATCTATTTTACTTGCAATTTACCACATTTTTATGCCCCTAATATTATTACGTCATATTCGGAGTTAATTTTTTATTTCACAAGAATAATTATGTTACGCAGTTTCTTACGTAATAATACTGCGTGCTTTTACTCGCCAATTATTGGAACTTGTTTCCAGTTGTCTAAACAACAGATGTTATTTTTTTTTGTGAGTATTTATTTTTTCCAAAAATTAAATTTGGCTCATAATCTTGTGCCCTACCATGTGGAAAATTTGTTTTGTGTTGCATCATAACTTCATCACCATGTTATTCACGCCCTTTTCTTATTATCCATCGATTATGACTTATTGTTATTGATCAATGCGGCTAACTACGTATCAAAATTTAAGATAATTCTATACACAGATTATAATTCGTACTCATATTATACTGGATGAATTTCGTGCGATGCACGGTTTGTTTATATTTTTTCAAACAAAATATTTACTAAATATATATTTATCTGATAAACTTTGTGATAATCGCTTGTTTACTACTTGATTTTATTTATTTTAAAATGAATTATTAATTTTGTTTTTCATATTTAGATAAAAATTCTTAGTATAAAAAGAAAAATTTTATTTCATAAAATTTCACGTGTGGGTTGGTCAAGGGTTACTCGGTTGGTGAAGAGTTACTCAATCAGTCAAGGGTTACTTGGACAGTTAGGGGTTACTCGGTTAGTATCTTGGTGTATCTTAGCCGGCCACACGATATGGCCAGCCACACGGAAAACGTGCTGATTTTATTTTTATAATTAATATAAAATGTTAGATCTAAAATAAATTGCAATTTTTTTTCATTGGCTAAAATATAAGATTTTCCTGTGAGACGCTCTGATAAATTTTTATTTATTATTATGTTCCTACGTAGTGCTTTAAAAAAACATACTTATATGGCATAATCCTATTGTATGTTTTAAAAATATTAATCCTACGTGGAGTTTTTTTTTTCCTACGTAGCGCTTTAAAAAAAACTAATCTTACGCGGCATAATCCGATTGTAGCGTTTAAAAATATTAATCTTACGTGGCGCTCTAATAATTTTTTTAAAATTAAAATCCTACGTGGCGCTCTAAAAACTCTGGAAAAAACTCCCCTTTATATATATATATACTAGTTTGAGCCCAGCCGATGCCCAGATGGTTGATAAAAGTTTATAATACACTTTTGGATTGAATGTTAAATACGGTTATATAAACCCTTTTAATAATGCAGGATATTTAGACATACTGAACTTAATTTATATTTTATTGAATTGAGATTATTTTTACTGAACTGAAATTATTTTCACCAAAACTAAAATTATTTTTCCTGATTAAAACTTATTTTCGTTAATTCTCTATTATTTTTGTGAATAAATTAAATATATTATAAATAGATCTTATTTTAAAGAAATTTTTAATACGAATTTTGTGATGGAATTAGTACCAAGATATAAGATATTTATCAAATGTTATGATTAATTTTGTATGTATGAAATATTAGAAGTTTAGCGATAATAAAACACTATATAACATTTTTATCTTTGAAAATCTATCCAATCTTCGCTTACTTAGCATCATATGTGTCATAATATATAATACCTATTTGTCGCCTACATGGCACGACACTTGGTGAAAAACTGGAATGCCAAGTGTCGCTATCTCGTGGCCTGGCTGTGAGACCGACTTTATTTATTAGTGATATGATATAAGATTAGCACCATCGAGACATATTTTGAATGAGAAGATCAACAAGTTTAAATATCACTTATGCACTTATTTGAACTTACGTTATCTGTATAGTATCTATTAGTGTATCAAAACTTAATTTGTTCGATATAGCGTGAACAAAACAAAACCTAATTAAAAAGAAAGGTATTCACTTTAAGATTATGTGATTAATTTATAAAAATTACGAATTTCGCAATGACAATGGACAAGCTCTAGCATGCATATAATAAGAATAGTTAGCTTGATTGTAAAAAGTTATAAAATATCCTATCTTTGTTGTGATCGACGGACGGTACATAATACTCAAAGGCTCAAAGTTAAAATCTGGAATCTAGCACAGTGACTAAAAGATTGGACATTAGCTTTTGAAAAGGATACATAAAAAAGACTTTTTAAAAATATGAATATGACCATAAATTAAATAAATGTATCAAACTATGCTACCATTTTCACAAATCATATTTAACATAGGCCAACTGAAATTAATATATAAATAAAATGAGAATCTGTTTAATCTGAGTACTTTTTTTGTTTGTTGAATTCTTCCATAAAAGTTAGGTATTTGGAATTTGGAAGCTCCCAATTAATTAGCTAATCTCTTGCTCACACCTAAATTGGACTAACTATTTTTTATATTCTTACAATTAGAGGAGCCCGCAGATCTATGGAAAACACTGAATACTTAAATACAAGTAGGAAAATGGTACGGATTTTATTTTCAATAACACGTACTAATATGTAAATTTGATTTAATTAGTTAACCCCTTATAGATTCGGGTAATATTATGTTGATATATATACTTGGTATGAGTTATAGTGTAATACTTGTATATCTAATATGGATTATGAACTAGTTATTCCGTCACACTATTGATAAAATTTCAATTCATATTCCTTCCTCCTTCATTTGGCCTCTTTTAAAACGCGACATTGGCTTTGCACAAACTTAAAAAAATTGGAATAAAATTATGAAATTTCAATCGAATTAACTTATTATATAAAAAAAATTAAGAAATTTTAGTTTGTATCATTTTTAAACAATGTGTTTGGTTTGGTAATTCAAAGTCTCCTACACTCAAACTAATTTGAATTCAAGTCAAACTATGCCCCAATCAGAGTGAAAGCTCTCCTAACATGCTGCTACATTATTCTCAAGTCTCGAACTCAAGACCTTAATAGTTAGATTTGATCAACTTCTTTAATAGCTGAAATACATCTAGGAACCTGTTGGACAAATTTTTGTTGTATCATAAAGGAGTATACTAAACAACAAATCCTTCGTTTGATCAAGTAGCGAGTCAAATTTTTGTCAACTCAGTGTTTACTATTCCAAGTCAAGACCATTGGTTCAAACTCACTTACTTTTATCCGTGCACCAAGTTTAAACCAAGTCGAACTCAAGTAACTTACGAGATATCTCGAATATCCAATCGAAAGTAAATAAAGAAAAAAAATACTACCCCATATTGCAAAAACAATAAAAAAAAAAAAAAAAGCTACTCCTTAATTGCTTAATGATGTAAGCAAAGCAAAACACCACCTTCTCATCAACCTCCCCTAAAATCAAAAAATTATTTATATATAAAACCCTCTTCTCCTTCCAATTTACATCCTCTCCCCATTTTCTCTTCTTCATTCACTCAACTCGTTGACATCAACACTTTCTCTCTCTAACTCAACTTTCTCTCTCCTCCCAAAAATAAAAAAACATGCAAGGAGTTCAACACCAAGTAAGGCTAGAACTAACAACGGCAGGTAACACATCACCACTAGCAATCGACGTCTCAGAATCAGCAGAAGTAAGGATCCAACGGCTAATAACAGAGAATCCAGTAGTCATTTTCAGCCGTCCATCTTGTTGCATGTGCCACGTCATGAAGAATCTCCTCCACACGATTGGGGTTCATCCAACGGTGATTGAGTTAGATGAGGTTGAGATCGCCGCCATACCTCCCAACACCGGCGAAGATTCCGGCGAAGCTCCGGCGTTGTTTATCGGTGGGACACGTGTCGGTGGATTAGAAAGCCTCGTGGCACTCCACCTCAGCAATAAGCTTGTTCCTTTGCTTGTTGATGCTGGTGCTCTTAGTCTTTCTGTCCCTCTTTGGGTATGATCATAAATTTCAAAAAAAAAATTAAATTATTTTGGTACTATTTTGAGTAAGTCCAATAATAATAATTATAATAATGATGAAAATTATTATTGTTATTATTATTATTTTAGGATTTTCTTAATTAATTCCCAACCCCCTCCCCCCTTCTAGAATGCAAAAAATTAATAAGTTATATAGAGTAATTATTACTTGATTAATGATGATGATAATAATACTTGAATATTAAGTTGTAATAATATTTGTAATTTTGAGGAGGAAAAGAGGGGAAAAATAGGGAAAATCGAAAAAAAAGAGTGTATTATATGAAAATTATGATGTTTTTATTTAACTGAATGTATAGTTATTAAGTGGAATGACAAGTGAGAAGTGTGCATGATTAGAGTACGTGTTTGGTTATAAATTGTATTGGTATCTTTTCATTTTTAGTTATGCATGAGATTATTGATTCCTTTTATTGTGGATCTACTTCTATTGTTCACACCTATGGATGGAAAATATTATCATTTTGCCCCGGATCAACGCTTTCGTCTATATAGATTTTGGTCCTAATGGTTATAATTATAAATTTGTTCTCAGGTTTTGAGCGTCTTTGTCCATTTCAACATTAGAATTTTGTGAAGTTTTACATTTTACACGGGGTTATGAATTTTCCTTCTTTTTAGTAGTGTATTCCATCTCAGGTTTTGAGTACCTTCTCGACATTAAGTTTTTCATTTTGGGCATCCTCGTGATCAATCCATTTAACAAATGTGACATCATTTTGCCATTTTGGTCATCCATGATGATATTGGTAGTTTTTAAAGGCTAAATTGGAGGCAAGATATAATAGGCGTATGAAAAATAAGAAATTTGGGGATGAAATAATGGGAGATCAAATAAAATTTACCAATATTGGTATAAAATACTAGAAATGGACAATATTTTTGTCGTGTAATGCCGATTTAAGTACTACGTATCTCTTGAAGGATACTCTACGTATTGGAATCCATTTAAATAATAAACGTTGAATGCGCCAAAGCTTGTGTACGATACAGCTATATTATACTTCCTCCTTACACATAATATAAATATCTATCTTTATATTTTTAGAGCTCAGCTTTCTTCCTGGTTTCATGGATTCTGGGAGCAATTCTCATCATCCGTCCATTTGACTCTCTAAAAACACCACCAAAATGTATATATTAAAAAATGTCTCTTTATTTTTTTTTAAAGAAGAAAAGGGATACTAAAATTATTTTTTTTTAGGTTGTTCACAAAAAAAGTACTCTTTTTGCTACTTTAAATGTAATCTTAGGTCATGTTCTGTTTATCATTTTTTGAATTATTATGGATAAAAAATTTGTTAGAAAATAAATAAGATTTGATAAAGGTTAATAATGGTGCACCTAGCTTCAATTATGGTTGAGATACATTCTAATATTTCACCCACTCAACTCTCTTTGGCCTGTTCTATTTATGTGTCTTGTGAATTTGTGATTTGTGGATCTTTTCACCTATTAATTATAAGAAAATTGGCATATATAACATGACATCAACGAATGGAGCAATGCTAATCAAAGCGGATGTAAATGGCAATACCAAATACTGTATTCTTGGTACTAACTCCGTTAATTATTATTACGTATAACTTTGGAATATTATTTGTGAGATATAAAAAATTCCAAAATTACGCTTAATAATTACCGGAAGTTGTATTATATATTGCCATAAATTCCCCTAGATTTGGGCGAATCTTTGAATTTTTTTGTGATGACAACAGGTGAAGACTGGAAAGGATGGGGAAGTTGTATTATATATATATGATGAGTGTTTTGTTGAATTGTGGTATTTGTAGATAGAACTCTTTGAGATTAGAAGTGGATTGACTACATATAGCTTGGAATGGATCGGAGGTCACAAAACAAGTAAGTTGATGGTTAATTCAGAGTTTGTTGTTTGTATGTTAGTGGATCTCCTCCACTAACCTACCCTCCTTAAACTCAGTTGAACTCAATATTTGTAATACTAGTAATAATAATTACTTTTATTATTAATGGATGATATTGCCCTACACTTATTATATTATACTTACTTCGTTCCAATAATATTGCAATAATGAGACTTTTGCATTATTCATATCATATTTATACGTTAAGCAAAATATAGTCATGTGAGATCTTGTTAGATTCATCTAATAAAATACTTTCACAATATCAACTTTTTATAATTTTTACTCTTACATAATTATAGATATTTAACATATAAAATGTGTTTTAAGATGTGTAATTTCAACCTTGTTACAATATTATTGGAATGGAGAAAATATGTATCATCCAATACATATAGAAGGGAACTAATATATGTGACCATTTAGGTAGCTTAGTATGATGATTTATAAATAAAGATTAAACAGTTTTTACATTTAAGGTAGCCTTTGATATATATATGAATCTAATAAGATCACACATTTTAGTTTTTGTCATTAAATGTAAATCACTAATTAAACATCACTTTGATCCCGTAAATATTAAGTGTACAAAAATTATACTAAGGTGAAAACAATAAGCTAAAGAAATTTGGTCAAAACAATTTTCCTACATTTTTTTTCTGGCAGAAGGTTTGGTCAAAACAAATATTACGTACTTCCTCCATTTCTATATAGTTGATGCGTTTAATTTAGGCACACACACTGCAAGAAAAATACCTTTTCGTAGCGATTAGTTTAACATTTCGTATCGATTGCAATTGTTATATATAAAAAAAAACCAACGAATGGTTATTCGATACAATATCCGCCATTATCATAACCTTTAGTAGTGTTTTTCGCTTTCGTTAGGGTTGTCCTCATTAATCGATACGAAAAACTACATTCAATCATGGTGATTATTGTATAATCGCTACAAATGTTGAACTCATTTTCTAAAAAAAAAAAAAATCCCTACATATGATCTATACAAGATTTGAACATGCAACCTCAAATTCTAATATTAAATGTTTTTCCAATAAGTTATGACATATTTTATGTTCTCTTTGTCAAACAAAATTTTAAAATCTAGTATAAAAAAGGCTTTTCGTATCAAGTTTTGGGTTTTAGTGGCGATTGTAAACGATACATTTTTTCATAATTTTATAAATGTGCAGAAAAAGGTGAATAATTATTATTCTGAATTTCGTATCGATTTCTTATGGGTTTACTATGTCGATTGTAAAATGATACGGATTCCTCTACTATTTCACAAACATATATGCATATTGTAGCGAATGTACAATCGCTACGAAAAGACAATTTTCTCGTAGTGGCATATTAAGGAAAGGAGAGAATGGGCAAGAATGATAAAACAAGTGGGGTAGACTAGTAAATGCAAAGTATAAAACTTACCCAAAATAAAAACGTGTCAACTAAAAATAAACTTTCTAAAAAAGAATAATTGTCAACTAAAAAAATGGAGGTAAGTATTAAATAATAATAACTAAAGGAGAATTTCATTTTCATTTGATGTTATATATTAACACATGCAATTGTTTGACAACAAAGGTTATATTGATTTGAGAGGGGAGACTATTTGGAGCAATGTAATTCATGAGAAAGAAGGTCCAAAACAAGGTGAGGGAGGGGGCCCTAGCAAGTTAAAATATAATGGTGCTTCATAAACTAAGATTCTAAAGGCGCAATATGGAATATGGATCTTTTAATTTAGTTTTAAGGCCAAGATTAATTTAATTTTATTTTGAAGGGACAAGAATAACTTTGTCACCATGCTAAGAAACACCAATAAGGTTTATGAGTGAATTATATGTGGCTACACCACCAAGCACTTTGGATTCTACTTTTTTTTTAAAAATATAATTTTTATTTTTATTTTTTTGTAAGAGTTTGAAAAAATTAATGCAAGTTGCTTGCATATAAACTATAAAGTGGGTCTAACCCACAGTCAAATTCAAGAAACCAATGCCCTATGGGAAAAGATAATTGATGCATCTCATGCATTAAATATTTAAATTGTTATTATTTGTTCATGTGATATTTTTATGTTTTTTTTCAATAATTTTTTATGATGTTACTTTCATGGCATTTTTGGTCTCATGGGATTGCTCAAAAGTTGGGATCAATGAACAAGATATGTTTAGATTTGTAGAGATTTTATGTATTGTGAAAGCTTTTAGCTTAGGTTTGTTAGTTAATCGTACTACTCTTTTACGAGTATACCACATACAAAGTAATTTTATTGTTGAAGTATTCGACTAGGAAGAAAGGGCGAACTTGGGGGGATGGATGGGAGTTTTGACACCCTCGGTTTTTGAATTTATTTTTCCCTTTTACTCCCTTTATCCTCCCCCTTTTTTTATGTAGACTAATAGTTTGTGAAAGCTATTTGGATTAAATGGTGCAAAAAATAAAGTGTAGAGGGAGTACAAATTTATATTACATACAACCATATCATTTTAATTATCACCTTAGCTTATATAATTTTGGACACACAATAACGCAAGAGTTCCATTACGAAGGACAACAACTTCCGCAATCAATGGAGATCTAAGATGAACCTATATATTGAGAGACCAATATGATCTCCCCAAGCATCAGCATCAGCAACAGCAGCAGCAGAAGTAATATCTACATGCATTGGCGGACCTGCCCTTGTGCATGGTGAGTCAAATGACTCACCAGGGCCCAAACAAAATTTCTAAGTTTTTTTTTTTTTTTTAAAAAAAATTATTTTCTTTGGTTGATTTTGTTGTTGTTTGTTTGGTAAACTTTGAACCTTTTGTTAATGTTGTTGGGTTTTTGATGAAATTTGAACCTTTTTGACCATGTGAATTGTAATCAGTGTTTATTTAGGGTGTTTATTGATGTTAATTATGTCTGTCAAATTGTCAATACACCATTGACTTTGGTAGATTTATATGGGGTTTTGCATATGTGCTGATTTGATTGGCGATTCAGACGATTGCTTATGATATAGTCGACCCACCCTAATGATATAGTCAATTATGTCTGTCAAATTGTGAATACACCCTAATGCTTGTACAGATTTTAATCTTGTCAATTATTAGAGAGCTAAGCTTGTCATGTTGTCAAATTTTTTTTTACATATGTGGTTATCGATTGTGACTCATCAGTCGGAAATTCCTGGGTCCGCCACTGTCTACATGCACTAAAAAGAAAATAATTCATCAAGTTGCACTCTTTGATCATATATTCAACCCCTTAGTTTGTTTAAATGTATGGTTGTATTTTAATTTGCGTCTTCTGATATTTCTTATCCTAGAAAATGCACTACATAAAATCTAATTTGACTTTTTATATGGTCTATACATATCAACCCTACACATTCATATGAATCACATGATCTTAAACTTGAATAATAATATGTCGGGGGTGGGGCTACTATTGAACGTATGCATATTCGATGTTTACTTTGCATCCAATCAAGGGAACTCCAATCTGTTGTTTTCTGAAATTGATTGCTAGTA